AATTCGATTGTGATAATTAATTTCTACATTTTTAATTCGAATATAAATTTTTCCTTGAAATTCGATTGTGAATTGTAATTTAATTTTCAGTCAAAAATTAATTTTTCTTTTCAGTCAAATTTCGAAAATTAATTAAATTTTCAATTATTAACCTTTTTTTGAAGATACTGTTAATTATATTTGAATTATAAGGGGGAAAAAATACAATCCTGGATTTCAAATTATTAATTTTTATGAGCTTTTAAAAAAAATGTATTTGTTAAACAAACAGAAGAACATAAATAAAAAATAATGAAGTCTATTTATACTCGTGTGTATAGAAAATGAAATTGCCGCAGTTGTATTATTATAGTGACTATTTAAGACGGTATATTTAGAATTGAAATGGAATCCCGAAACTTTTGATAAGTTAATAGAATTGAAATGAGAGAAAGAGCAAAATGCGCTCTAAGAAGACATTTCCGTCGATAGAGTTTCGCGACCTGTCGTTATAGACATTTTAACCAGTAAAATCGATTATCAATGTACAAGAGAAAATGGAATTTCTTCTGCAAAATAATTAACGAACTTTCAACCTTCGAATATAAACACACACAGCAAATACCTAAATATATATATATATATAGTCAAAAGAGAATCTTATTTTAAGAGAGATAAATATCTTTCCCTTATTACACCTGCGATGATAATATCTCGCAATTTTCAATAAATAATAAATGGCTCACTTAAAACATATTTTCAATAACAAACATATCGATTTTTAATAATTTATTATTCGGAAATTATTTTTAATTGCAAGAAAATAATTAAACTCGATAGTTAATAAAAACTAAATTTATTAATCAATTTATTAATGGCAAATCTAATTGATTAATAATTAATATCGAAAATAATTAATTAAGATCAAATTAATTAATTAATAACAAACTAATTAATAATTAAAGTCAAACTAATTAATTAGCTTGAAATTAATTAATAGGAAATGATTGACTATATTAAAATTAGTAGCAAAATAAATTAATTAGATGGAAATTAATATCAACTTATTAACTTCAATAGTAATAGCAAGTAATTAAATAGTAAATTAATAGCAACTAATTAATTAAATTGAAATTAATATCAACTAATTAAATAGAAAATTAGTAGCAACTAATTAAACAGAAAATTAATAGCAACTAATTAATTAAGTCGACATAATAGAAACTGATAAAATAAAAAAAATCTACTAATTAAATAGAAAGTTAATAGCAACTAATTAAATAGAAAATCAATAGCCACTAATTAAATAGAAAATCAATAGCCACTAATTAATTATGCAGAAATTAATATCAACTAATTAATTATGTCAAAATTAATAGCAATAGTAAAAGTATGAAATTAAAAAAGCAATAGCAATTAATTAAATAGAAAATTAGTAGCAACTAATTAATTAAATCGAAATAATAGCAAATGATTAAATTAGAAAACAATAGAAACTAATTAAGTAGAAAATTAATAGCAACTAATTAAACAGAAAATTAATAGCGACTAATTAAAAAGAAAATTAATAGCGACTAATTAAATAGGAAAAATAATAGCGACTAATTAAATAGGAAAAATAATAGCGACTAATTAAATAGAAAATTAATAACCACTAATTAATTAAGTTAATATTATTAGCGAGTAATTAAATTGAAATTATTAGCAACTAATTAAATTGAACGTAGAAAAAACTAGTTAATTAAATTGAAATTAATAGCTACTGATTAAATTAATAATTAATAGCAACTATTTAAGTTAAAATTATTAAATTTAAATAATTTTTTTAGAATTTTTTTTTTTGCTTTATTTAGAAGAAAATATTTTTAATTAGTTGAATTTCTCAGAGATAACACAGCAGAGTGATGATGACATTGTTTGTGAATCTATCCGCGGTACTTTTTTCACTATAAAACATGATATCCGACACTGCCTATTCAACCTAATTAGTTAATTGATACGATCGATGAAAATCGCGTGTAATCCTTTTGCAAACTTGACATATATAATTTATAACATTTCATATATATATATATATGCAATTGGATCGAATATCAATTCAACAAAATAACTTTCAATTCCTGTAATTTAATCTATAATCAAAAATGTCCATGGATGAAAATCTTATTTTAATCGAAATGTTGCTCAAAGAATTTTAGAATCAATAAATTCGATATGTAATTATTCAGTAAAATTACTATAAGTGAATTTTACTAATTTAGCTACTAATTAAAATTACTATGTAAATTTTACTAAATTGGTTACTAATTAAAATTACTACGCGAATTTTACTAATTTAGTTACTAATTAAAATTACTACGGGAATTTTACTAATTTAGTTACTAATTAAAATTACTATGCGAATTTTACTAATTTAGTTACTAATTGAAATTACTACGCGAATTTATAAGGCAAAATTACTATCAAAATTAGTAAGTAAAGTTGCTAGTTACTTCAATTAGTATCTAATTTTACTTATTAATTTTTGTTAAATTAATATCTGGACTAATTTAATTGCTAAATAAAATTACTTAGTAAAGTGACTAAGCAAAATTATTCAGCAAAATTTTTAACTAAATTAGTAAGTAAAGTTGTTGGTAATTTTGATTAGTATCTTATTTTACTTAATAATTTTACTTAGTAATTTTCGAAAATTTTTTTAGTAAAATGACGTAGGTACTAATTAAATTGCTAAATAAAATTACTCAGAAAAATTACAAACTAAATTAGTGAATAAAATTTCCAGTTATTTTAATAAGTATCTAATTTTATTTCGTGAGTTTTGTAAAAATTTTAAGTACAATGAGGCAGTTATTAAATTGCTAAATGAAATTACTCAGTAAAATTACTAATTAAATTGATAAATAAAATTACTCAGTAAAATTACTGACTAAATTAGTAAATAAAGTTGCTAATTACTTTAATTAGTATCTAATTTTATTTAGTAATTTTGGAAAATTTTATGTAATATTTTACTTGCTAAATAAAATTACTCAGTAAAATAACTAATTAAATTGATAAATAAAATTACTCAGTAAAATTACTAATTAAATTGATAAATAAAATTACTCTGTAAAATTACTGACTAAATTAGTAAATAAAGTTGATAGTTACCTTAATTAGTATCTAATTTTACTAACAAAAGTAATTAAAAATTACTAATTATTAGTTAAGCAAAATTATTAACTAAATTGGTAAGTAAAGTTGCCAGTTATTTTGCCAAGTTTCTAATTTTACTTCATAATTTTCGAAAAAATTTCAAGTACAATGTGGTACTAATTAAATTGCTAAATAAAATTACTCAGTAAAATTAATAACTAAAGTTGCTAGTTATTTTAATTAGTATCTAATTTTACTTAGTAATTTTTGTAAAATCGTTATATGAATTACTAATTTAATTGCTAAATAAAATTATTAATTTTTTTTCTTTTTGTTAAAAAAAATTTTCAATTTAGTTAAAAATTAATTAGTTCAAAAAGAATATTTTTTATCCCTCGTGATTAATAATTATCAACATACCAATCGAAACATAAAAACCGAAATTTTTCTTAGAACAATAAATCGAAAATTTTTTTCGAACAAAAATATAAAACCCACTTTTTTGAAAAATTCACTTACTCTTGATACTAATTCAATATTGGTACTCTATAAATTTATGTACTGAAAAAAACACTTACAGTGAAAAAAAAATTTATTTAATTCCAATAAACGGTTACTTTTCTATTTTCAAATGAATATTTATTTGACTCAAGTAAATATTTCCTTGATAATCAAGTAATCGTTTATTTGAAGCAAATAAATTTTGTTCTTTTAGTGTAAATATGAAAAAAAAATTTCTGTGTAAAAAAATTAAATTATTTATAGGTACACTTATAAATATTTACCTAATATAAATAAATGCAAGTATATATTTACCTAATTTGGTGTATTTACATAAATTTACGTGTATGCACAAATTATTATTGATCCATGTTTTGTGTTTCTGTTGAGAGAAAATTATTCTATAAATATTGCCCCGTAGATATATTATTATTATTATTATTATTATTATTATTATTATTATTATTATTATTATTATTATTATTATTATTATTATTATTATTATTATTATTATTATTATTATTACCATTATTATTATTCCCTTTTGGAAATATTTATCTCTCTCTCTATTACCTCTATAAATATAACTATGTATATTACAAACTCCACATGTGATTATAATTCAAAATAGCAAATTTTGAAATAGGTCAATATTCCTGTGCGGTGAAAAGTCAAACGCGGAGTGATGATTGACATTCACGAATTATGTAAATACTGTAAATAAATTTTTTCTTTCCCAAGTATACATAATATATATAAATATAAACCAAATTTATACAATTTTTTATAAAAAAAAAAAAAATGTCCCTATATTTATGTTGCACATTTTCCCTGTTCTGTGAGTCATGTCCCTGGAGAAATCTTCGCTATTTTATTTATTTAATTCTATTTATTTTCTTCAAAATTTTTTTTTTTTTTTTTTTGCTTCGTCTATCAAATTCCGATCGTCAAAAAAAAAACTTACGACGTTGTTTTCCGTTTTTTTTAACCAATTTTTTGTACACAAAATTTCAGAAAAAAAATTTCGAACATACTGTAAATTTTACTAATTTTTATATTGAAATTAACTTTGAGAGTGTAATAAATTTTACTATACGAATCCCCTAATAAAAAAATGTTTTAACAAGAAATTCTGAAAATTTTGTATTAAAAAAATTGCTGTAAAAAAATTCAACGTCTCACGGAATATTTATAAATTTTAAGTATGAACAAAAATATAAGCAAAAAAGAAAAAATATATATATACATAAATCATTCATTACAAATATGCAATTTTTTATATATATATTGAATATAAAAATAATTGGAACTTGCTAGGCAAAATGCATGTTAGTTATTAGAGTAATGTGACACGTAATTATGAAATGCAATCAAACTCAAAGCGCCGCATAGTCCACAACGTAGAAGAGAGAGACTGAATTTGAGGATGAAGAGTTTGAGTTTGGATTCACCTGAAGGATCAGCTCATGTTCGTCATCGACCACGAGAATATCATCCTTCCGGTTATAGGGATTCATACACACCCCCACGACGTTCTGATAGCGGAAGTATCAACAGATTATGTAAGTTTAGCGTTTAAAAAAAAAAATTGATAAACGATAACATTATTTTCTTTTCGTCCTGTGTGTTGTTTCAAAAAAAAAAAAAAAATTTTTTTTAAAAGTTATAAAAAATTACAAAAAAAAGTAAAAAAAACAAAAAAAAATAAAAAAGTCAGAAAAGTAACAAAAAAAGTCAGAAAAGTAACAAAATAGTCAGAAAAGTAACAAAAAAGTCAGAAAAGTAACAAAAAAAGTCAGAAAAGTAACAAAATAGTCAGAAAAGTAACAAAATAGTCAAAAAAGTAACAAAAAAGTAACAAAAAAGTCAAAAAAAAAAGATAACAAAAAAGCCAAAGAAATAATAAAAGGGCAAAAAATAACAATAAAGCCAAAAAATAATAAAAATTCCAAAAAATAATAAAAAAAGACCAAAAAAAATAAAAAAAAGTAAAAAGCAAACAAATAAAACGAAAACAAAAAAAAATTTAAATCCAAAAGACAACCAAAAAAATCATAAAACAAAAAAAAATTCAAAACAAAAGTTTCAAAAACAAAGAAATTTATGAAAATCAAAAAATAAAATAGAAACGAGTAAATTTTAAATTAAAATATCAGCAACCACTTTTTGAATTAAAATATTCTCTGTGTGTGCGCTTTATAAGGTAAGATTTTTTTTTTCTAGAATTTTCCAATTACAAAGAATTTTTTAAAAACCATAATCTTTTTTTTTCTCCTTCTCTAAAAACTAATTTCGCATGATTGAAAGTGTTCTATATTTTAAAACTGCATGACTATATATATAAAGTTTGTACATACTATACAAATATTATTGTACTTCAATTTCAAACCATTTTGTACGTTTCGATATTTATTGTATAATTATAAATAAATTTTCAATTCCTTTAAAATAACACCCTTTTAATTTATCAAATCAATGTTGCTCCTTGTTGATGAAATTAATAATTTTCAATTCTAAAAATCGCAAGATTTTTAGAATTTGAAAATTATTAATTTCATCAACTTTTAACACATTTTAACAAAAAAAAAAAAAATCCAGAGAAAATTATTAATTTCATCAACTTTTAACACATTTTAACGAAAAAAAAATCCAGAGAAACATTTTCATTTATACTCTCATAAATTTCCAATATTTGCCGCAAGTATTATTTCTTTTAGTGTAAATAAATATTTCTTTTGTAATTATCTATATATATAGAGCAAAAAAAAAACGTGTTTATTGTCTAGTTTTGAAATAAAAAAGTGTCTCTCGTCATATTGCTTGCTAATTGTTGTAAAAAAAAATGATAATTTTATCTTCTATTTGTTGTAAAAAAATTAAAATTTTATTTTCCATTTCTTATAAAAAATTATTTTATTTTCTACTTTCTCAAGTTGCGCTGATTATCAATAAAACGATTGTTATTTACAATTAAAATTATTTTGACTATTGTAAAAATGAATTTTTCACTTGCATGTGTATAGAAGCAAAATTTTTTTATTTATCGATGTTTAATATAACTATTTATTATTTAATAATTATTTACTATTTAATAATTATTAATTACACTGAAAAAAAATTTATTTGATTCAAATAAGCGATTAATTGAATATTATCAATTAAATATTTAATTGAATCAAATATAATATTTATTGGAGTCAATTAAATGGTTCAATTCATATTTGCTTCAAATACTGAAATTATTGGTTCAAATACTATTTAATTGACTCCAATAAATAATATTTGATTGAAATAAATATTTAATTGATTATTATCAATTAACTATTAATTAATTAATTAACCAGTTATTTGAATTAATTAAATTTTTTTTTCAGTGTATTTAATGATTATTTAACATTTAGTGAATAAATATTTATCAATTACTGATGATTATTTAATCAGTAAATAATTATTTATTAACTATTGATGATTATATTTAACAATTAGTAAATAATTAGTTAATAATTATTAAATAATAACTTAGTAATTATGGAATGTAAAGTATAATTAAATATAAAATAAATAAATTAATAATTTTAATTCTCTATTATAGAAAATAATAATATTATAAGAAACTAAATATTTAATTTGCTTTTTTATTTTATTTTTATTGAATTTATCATTAAATATTTAAATAATAAATTTTTAATAATTATTCACTATAATTATGTAAAAAGAAGAATAATTTTAATTCCTTATAGAAACAATATAGAAAATGAGAATGTAACTATTTCCAGTAAATTTTCTACATTTTTAAAAGTCTGTTCTTCTTAGACTAAAAACCAAATATTTTTTTAATTCCTTTGCTTTTCAAAAAAAAAAAAAAACTTTTTTAATCGTTAAAAATTTCTTTAATTTTTAAAAAGAAAAGTTTAATAATATCGGAGTTGAAATTTCAAAAAATTACTTTTGAAAAATAAAAAAAGAAAATCAACAATTTTTACCAGTCAAAACATTTTTCTACAAGAATAATTCGGTACTAACATAAATTTTATTTCGAGAATTCAATAAAAAATTCAGACCCACCAACCTTCTTATATTGGTGTTACTTAAAATAAAATACATTTACTGGAGATGAGAAACACACATCGTTCTATATATCTCACATGAAAATGAATGAATGATTGAGTAGAAATAGATTAGAATCAATTTGAGTATCCTATAAAGAAAATTAGTTTTCATTTTTGTTTTTTAGTTGAATTAGTTTTCTTACAAAAAGTTAGAATTTAATTAACTATGCAACTCTACTTAAAAAGATGCATTGGATTTCGTGTAAATGAAACGCATATATTATTTTACGGATTCTATAAGTGTTTATTCAATGTATAGTTTATTACAAAGACGAAGAGCAACTGACCAACCTGGATCTAAGATCGGTTTTCTATCCTGAGATTGTAGTTTAAAAGTGGGGATACAGTGCAAAAAAGAGGGGATATAGCTAAATTTGTACAGTTTCAGGTAAAGGGTCCTGGGCCCTAATTACGAACAGATGAGAAGTCCGTTAAGTGCAATAAAGTTCAGAGTACAATGTCTATTGTCAAAATAGTTTCCAAATCTAAACTCATCTGGCTCTTAATCCCAAAAATAACTTCAAAAACACGTTCAATTTTATTACTTAATCCGTGAGTTTAAGTTATAAAAAAAAGGTACTAGACCTAAGTATAGAAGTTGTAAAGTCATAAATATTTTTGACAATTTTTTACTGAAAAATATCTATCTTAAATTTATTCATTATTTTGAATATTGTAAAATTTTGTGTACAACACAACATACTCCCCCCGTTGAGAACGGAGTGATCAACTAGAAATTACATAAATTCGTTGATGGGCAAGGGTGATAATCCCTTTACATTGCGTTTTAATTCGCCATTGGCAGTTTTTACTACCACTGTCCGGAGAATTCCATCATCTCCAGGATGCATTTTTATTACTCGACCCAATCTCCATTGCATTGGTGGTAAATTATCTTCCTTGATAATTACAAGTGTCCCTTCCTGGATCGAATGTTGACCTTTAGTCCATTTTGAGCGAATATTTAATTCGTTTAAATATTCCTTGGACCACCTGGCCCAAAAGTGTTGTCGAATCTTCTCCAGATGTTGCCAATTGAAAAGCCGGTTTGTAGCAGTTGTTGTGACATCAAGAGAAGGAATACTTGTTAACGATTCGCCGATTAGGAAATGACCAGGTGTCAGAACAAGAAGGTCATTAGGATCATTTGAGATAGGAGTTAAAGGTCTGGAATTCATAATGGCTTCAATTTCTATTGTAAAAGTATTAAATTCTTCAAATGTGAATAAAGAATCGGTTACTACTCTTTTAACATGATGTTTAAATGATTTGACACTTGCTTCCCAAAGTCCTCCGAAATGGGGAGAAACAGGTGGAATAAAATGCCAACGCACACATAAATCGCTTGAAAACTTGAAACATTTTGATTGATGCTCATTAGAATTGAACAAAGCATAGATTTCTTTAAGTTGGTTGTTCGCTCCAACAAAATTAGTCCCATTATCAGAAAAAATGTTAAGAGGTTTTCCTCTGCGTGCTATAAATCTTTTTAATGCGGCCAGAAATCCTTCGGTAGTCAAATCGCTGACTACTTCCAGATGTACTGCTTTAATTACGAGGCAAACAAAGACAGCTACATAAATTTTTACTTTATTGCGATTTCTAAATTTCTTTTCTTTCACGAAAAAGGGTCCGCAATAATCAATACCTACATTTATGAATGGTCGTGCCTCCGTAATTCTAACCTTCGGTAAATTACCCATTATATACTCAACCTTTGGAGGATTTGTTCGAAAACATCGTACGCATTTACGAAGAACCTTTCGTACCACACTTCGACCATCCACTACCCAATACTTTTGTCTCATGGAATAAAGGGTCGTTTGAATTCCTGAATGGTGATTCTTTAAATGACAATTACGAATGATAAGATCAGTTATCGCATGAGATTTAGGCAAAAGAATAGGATGTTGAACCGCATATGGCAAATCTGAATGTTTTAATCTTCCACCCACTCTCAGAATTTTTTCCTCATCTAAAAATGGGTTAAGTGAAAGGATTTTGCTTCCCTTGGAAAGTTCTTTTGATTGAGATAATAGTCGAATCTCATTTGCAAAAGATGATGTCTGAATTATTTTAATTATCCTTTTCTCAGCTCGATTTAATTCATCGATATCCAAAAGTTCTGTGTTTTTTCGATATTTAAATCTCAAACAATATGCTATGACTTTCAATAATAAAGAATAACAAGAAAAGGATAATAAAAATTCAGGCATTTTCTCGCTTAACAAAAGACAAACATTTTTTTTTATTTCAGGAAGTTCGTTCATTTGTTCAAATTGAGATTGTGGCCAAAATTCTTCTTTGGTTTGAAGCCAATTTGGGCCGTTAAACCAAAGATGATTTTTGAGAAAGTCGTACGGTAATTGTCCTCGTGATAACGCATCGGCTGGATTTTCTTTCGAAGATACGTGTCTCCATTGTTCGGGTAACGAATAATTTTGTATTTCCGAAACTCGATTCGCTACAAATGTTTTTAATAAGTGAGGAGACGTTTTAATCCAGTTAAGAGTGATAGTTGAGTCAGTCCAGTAAGTAATTGAATCGAATTCTAATTTGAGGTCTTTTTTTACTTCGTCAGCGATTTTAACCAACAATTGCGCGCCGCATAATTCGAGACGCGGCAAGGAAACGGTTTTTAACGGAGCCACTCGCGATTTTGCATACACTAATTTGACAAGAATTTTTCCATTTTCGTCAAATGATCTTAAATATACGCAAGCCCCGTAACCTTTCTCACTGGCGTCGCTGAATCCGTGTAATTCAATTTTAATAAAATCAGAAATTAAAATTCTTCTTTCGAACATAACCTCCTTTAATGCTGGTAACTGATTACAATACCGCGACCATAAGGTGAAAATATTAGCGGGTACTGATTCATCCCAGTCTAATTTTAATTTCCAAAGTTCTTGCATTATTTGTTTTGCGAATAAAATGACTGGACCTAAAAGACCTAATGGGTCGAAAATTTTTGCTATTTCGGAAAGAATGTTCCTTTTCGTTTTTACCAAATGTGATTCGATGGGATTAACCGTGTATTTAATGACATCGTTTTTCGCGTCCCAAGTAATTCCCAAAGTTTTGACCGTTTGTTCTTTATCAAATTCAAAATCAACGCATTTATCGTCTTTATCTATGTCGCGAATTATTTCCTCATTATTAGAGGCCCATTGACGAAGATTAAATCCAGCACGACGCATAATCTCAATTAGTTCGTTTCGCATTTGAATCGTGTGTGAAATGGTTTCACCACCAGTTAAAACATTATCGACATAAAAGTGATTTTTTAAAATTTCACGTGCTAAAGGAAATTCATCGCCTTCGTCTTCGGCAAGTTGATAAAGACATCGGATTGCTAGAAAAGGGGCCGGAGACAAACCAAATGTGACTGTGTTTAACGTGTACGTTTTAACAGCATCACCTTCTTTCCATAGAATTTTTTGAAATTTTCGGTCTTTTTCGCGAACAAAGATCCGTCGATACATTTTTTCTATATCAGTTATAATGACGTATTTATATTTACGAAAACGAATAATGTGACTAATTAAAGGGTCTTGTATCGTTGGTCCTGTCATTAAAACGTCATTTAATGATATACCAGTCAACGTTATAAACGAACCATCGAAAACAACGCGAAATTTTGTTGATAAACTTAAAATTTTAATCACAGCTTGATGTGGTAAATAAAATCCGTCATTTGGATCAGCTGAGTCCGTAACGTCAGTCATTTGTCCGAGAGTAATATATTCATTTATTACTCTTGTGTATTCTTTTGCGAAAACAGGATCTTTTTCAAATTTATAAAGAAGAGCTTTTAATCGTTTTAAAGCTCTTGAATACGAATTTCCGAGTTCCGGAAGTTTGGAATTAAACAATAACGCGACTTCATATTGACCGTTTTCAACGCGTTTTACCGTTTTGCGAAAGAATTCTTCACATTCAACTTCTTCCTTCGACCAAATTACATTTTTATTTCCTTCCTCGATTTCCCAAAAACGAGTTAACGTGTCGAGCAAGTTAATTAAGTTACATTTTGCTGAATTTACTTGCTTTGAATAATTAAAGTTTCCTCCAATTATCCATCCTAATCGCGTTTTTTGCAAAAAAATGTCTTCGTGATTTTTTGATAAATTAATTTGCCCTATGCATAACAGAGACAATGTTGGTCCAGAACCAATCAACATATTAATTGGAGCAGGAATATGAAATTCTGGATCGGCAAGAGGTAAATTTGAAGGCAATCTCAAACTTTCGCGATGTATTGGTTCGCTCGGGATACAATTTGATATAGAAGGAATTGTTAAGAAGTCAAGGGTTTTTTCAAATTCAGTGTAAGTTGAACGAAAGGTTATCGTGACTACGTGTTTTGTCACCGTTGTCATATCATTTAGAGCTCCTACTGGAACCGAGCATTTTCTTTTTATTAAACCCAATTTGTTTGCTAAATTTTCAGTGACAAAATTAGCAGTTGAACACGTATCTAGTAATGCGCGACATTTAAAAAATTCATTATTTCGATTTGCAACGCGTAGGCACACACTAGTCATTAATTGATTGTTGGGCTCTCGAATATTTACTGAAAATGCGTAGGGCTTTGATACAACAGAAGAATCTAGTCATGTTTTATTTTGAGACAATGACTGTTTCGACGTTTGATCGAACAAATTTTCCTTAGGGTCATGGAGCAATGTATTATGTTTCTGTGTACAAATTAAACATGGACCAAATGTACATATTTTATCTCCATGATTACGTAAGCAATTCAGACACAATGACGCTTCTTTAGCAGCTTGAACGCGTTGAGGTATTGAAAATGAACGGAATTTTTCGCATTTATACACGTTATGAGTTTCGTTACAAAAGGGACACGACTTTTTATTAACTGAAAGAAATGCTTGCCTCGATTTTTTATTTTGTTTTTTATTATGTTCTTGATTCGAACCCGAGTTTGAATTTTTATTAGAACGTTGATTTAAATTATCGTCCACGAGTTTTGACAATCGCGCAGCAGTTTTATATAAAAACTCTAACATTTCTTCTAATTTTGGAAATGTACCCTTGTTTATTGTTTCTTCCCATTTTTCAGCAGTATTTTTATGCAATTTCTCTTCCAAAATTTGAACAACAATTTCCTCAGTTACATTTACCTTCAAAGCTTTCAATGATTCAATGTGTTGCTGAGTATCATCTGCTAACTGTCTTAACCCTTCTGCCGATTCTTTTTCCTGAATAGGAAGTCGAAGCAAAAGGCTTAAGTGTCGGGAGATGATAAGGCGTTCGTCAGCATAAGCAGTTTCTAACAATTTCCAAGCACTTTTATAATTATCACTACTCATATTAAAATTTTTTATTTTATTTGCAGCCTCTCCTGATAACGTTGATTTAAGGTATTGTAATTTTTCAATATCAGTTAAATCTTCTTGATTGTGAATCATACTAGTAAACGAATCTTTAAATGAAAGCCAATCTTCATATCGACCTTCAAATTTTGGAAGTGAAGCTTCCGGAAGTTTAATACGTCTTTTAAATGATCGCGGATGTTCATTTACAGGTAATTCCGCTGCTTGAACAACGTTAACAGGAGTAGAACTTATTTTTAGTTGTTCTGCAAGTGTCAAAAGATCTAAATATGTTTCTTCGATTTCATAACGATCTACTGAATGATCAACTTCTTCATCAAGAAGTTCTAGTTGATCAGCAATATCGTCAAAATTGTGAAAATTAGCTTTAAATTTATCTAACCGAACATTTAATTTTATTATATTTGGCGCGGTTGTTTGATATTCTTCAAGAAATTGTTTAAATTTTGTTGCTTGTGCCTTTAAAGTTGTGAACTTTTGTTTATTTTGTCTTATTTGAATCTCTGCCATTTTTTAGGAAGGAAATATTAAAGGATTCGCGAATCGATAAATGAGCGTTACCTTGTAGATGATCTGCTAGATCCCTTTGCTGCTTCTCGATCCAAATTGCCTCTGGAGTTATTGGAACAGGATTTTGGTCGTTGTTATAAAATCCAGTATGTTGTTTCAAATTTCACAAACAGTACACGGATTTAATAACTTTCGTATAAACGTCCAATTTCAATTGTCCAATAGTTTTTAATTATTGTTATTTTTATGACACTCTCACTTTACACTTTGTTCATAATGTCACTTGAACGATTTTTAAGAGGTCATAGAGTTGCTTTACGTTTATTAAAAGTGATATCAATAAATTGTACGATTTATTTAACACAAATGCACTTAATGTTTACGCATAGACTGTAAATTACTTAGAATATTCACAGTTGAAACATATTATTTAATCACTTATTTCTTCACCTTTACTCTTCTTTATAGAATCCGGCTCGAAGGACCATGTTTTTTAGTTGAATTAGTTTTCTTACAAAAAGTTAGAATTTAATTAACTATGCAACTCTACTTAAAAAGATGCATTGGATTTCGTGTAAATGAAACGCATATATTATTTTACGGATTCTATAAGTGTTTATTCAATGTATAGTTTATTACAAAGACGAAGAGCAACTGACCAACCTGGATCTAAGATCGGTTTTCTATCCTGAGATTGTAGTTTAAAAGTGGGGATACAGTGCAAAAAAGAGGGGATATAGCTAAATTTGTACAGTTTCAGGTAAAGGGTCCTGGGCCCTAATTACGAACAGATGAGAAGTCCGTTAAGTGCAATAAAGTTCAGAGTACAATGTCTATTGTCAAAATAGTTTCCAAATCTAAACTCATCTGGCTCTTAATCCCAAAAATAACTTCAAAAACACGTTCAATTTTATTACTTAATCCGTGAGTTTAAGTTATAAAAAAAAGGTACTAGACCTAAGTATAGAAGTTGTAAAGTCATAAATATTTTTGACAATTTTTTACTGAAAAATATCTATCTTAAATTTATTCATTATTTTGAATATTGTAAAATTTTGTGTACAACACAACAATTTTATTTGCAGATCACGTTTTAACCTGTGTATTTCGTATTTATATTTTTTTTGTTATTAAATAAATAAATAAATAAAAACTAATATTAAAAAAAAAAAATAAAGAAAAAAAAATTGAGAGAGGATTGAATGAAAAAAAACTGAATTTGTATACGTTTTTTTGTTTCTATTTCAGCGCCCTGCAGTCCAGGTCAAGGGCATGGGGTTCACAAACACTTGAGGGGAACAATAAGAATGTCTAGTGTGGAACTACCAGATGAAAATGAAAAATCCTATTCCTCGGCAAGCACCTCACCCTGTCCCTCGCCTCACACCAACAATCAAAATCACCTGAATCCACTTGGAAAACGTGTTTTACCGCCAAACAATCTCTACGTAGTGTTGTACAACTTTGAAGCTAGACATCGTGACGAGTTAGACTTGAAGTGAGATTCGCTTATTCAATTCATGCTTTGCAAACTATTTTTTTTTTTTTTTTTAATTCTCTTTCGATGTTTCTTACTCTATTTTCTATTTTTTCTCAAAAAAAAAATTCTATTTTTTTTCTCAAAAAAACAGGGTTGCCACAAAAATTTAATTTTTTTTTTCTCTAACTTTTTCCTGACTTCCAGACAAAATTTGACGTTTTTCCCTGACCCTAAAGAATATTCTGATTCACGACAAAAATTATTGGATACACGAAGAAAAAGGATTGTTATGTTAAAAAAAAAAAAAATTAAATTTAAATTAAAAAGATTGTTAATATAGAACTAATAAATTTATTTTGTTGTTCTAACAATTAACATTTTTTCCAATAACAATAAATCTGTTGAGATAACACAAAATTTTGTAACAACAACAAACGAAATTTGTTACTTCTATAATATAACAATTCTTTTTTCTCTGTGTACTAAAAAAAATGTTCTATTACATTTATTTACGAATTTCCTTAATTGTAAAATTATTCGAAAACAATAATTTCTTTTTTAAATAAATATTTAATCATTATTATTATTATTATTATTATTATTATTATTATTATTATTATTATTATTATTATTATTATTATTTCAATAGGAATTAAAATTCTTCAAAAGATTCAAATTCAAACCATTTGAAATTCAATAAATTATAAAAATATTTATATAAAACATAAAGATTTTAATATGAAACCTTTTTAAAATTCAATTATTTCTAAAAATTTATGAGATAATGCTCTTAATATTCAATTATAATATAAAATTTTAACTGAAATTTAAGTATTTTCAATTAATTCTTATAGAAAAAATCCTATCAGAATGAGAATTCAATTATTTAAATGCAAAAATAAATAATTTATTGAATAATTAATTACTTCTTAAAATTTAATTCTCATAAAGAATTTTATCAACAAATTTTTAAAAATAATTACATTTTTTCGAGAAATTCTTTGTAAATAATTGAATTCTTGTGAAATTTTTATTATACTTATATGAAAATAATTAAAAGTTTGCGTAAAATTAAAATTTTTTTTTTTTGAAACAATCGAATTCTTTTGGAAAATTTTATTAAATTAGTAGATACTAAAAATCATTGAATTGAGGAAAATTTTCGAAAATAATTGAATTTCGGAGAAGAATTTTATTATTAATAAAGATAATTGAAATTTTGTCGAGAATTTTTACAAAAAATTTCTCATAAAGAATTTCATCAACAAGTTTTTAAATTATTGAATTCTTTTGACGAATTTTAATAAAATTTTTAAGAATAATTACATTTTTCAAGAAATACGATTTAAATTTTATTAAAAATAATTGAAATTCTCCGACAAGTTTTATTATTTACCTACAGAAAATAATTGAATCCATTTTAAAAAAATTTTATTATTTATGAAAATAATTAAATTATTTCGAAGAAATTTATAAAAAAAATTTGTAAATAATTGAATTATTGTGAAATTGTTATTATTTATAAAAATAATTGAATGTTTGCGACTTTGCGTAGAATTTTATTAAAAATTTTTTTAAATAATTTAATTCTTTTGGAAAATATTATTAAAATAGTAGATATTAAAGATCTTTGAATTAAGGAAAATTTTGGAAAATAATTGAAATTTTAACAAGAATTTTAATAAAATTTTGGAAAATAATTGAATTTCGGAGAAGAATTTAATTATTTTTAAAGATAATTGAAATTTGGCAAGAATTTTTAAAAAATTTTTGAACTTAATTGAATTTCTGCGGAGAATTCAACTACTTAAATACAAAGATGAAAAATTTATTGAATAATTGAATTCTCATAAAGAATTTTATCAACAAATTTTTAAATAATTGTATTCTTTTGACGAATTTCAATAAAATTTTTAAGAATACTTAATAATTACATTTTTCAAGAAATACGATTCAAATTTTATTAAAAATAATTGAAATTCTGCGATGAGTTTTATTATTTATGAAAATAATTGAACTCTTAAAAATAATGTTATTATTTATTACAATAATTAAATTATTGCGAAGAAATTTATAAAAAATTTATAAATAATTGAATTCTTGAGAAATTTTTATTATTTATAAAAATAATTAAATGTTTGCGTAGAATATTATTAAAATTTTGTTTAAATAATTGAATCCTTTTGGAAAATGTTATTAAAAAAGTAGATATTAAAAATCATTGAATTGAGGAAAGTTTTTGAAAATAATTGAAATTTTGACAAGAATTTTAATAAAATTTTTGAAAATAATTGAATTTCGGAGAAGAATTGAATTATTTATAAAGATAATTGAAATTTTGACGAGAATTTTTTTTTAATTTTTTGAATATAATTGAATTTCTGCGAAGAATTTTATTACTTTTGAAAATAATTGAACTTCTTGAAATTTCAAATTAAAACCTTTTGAAGTTCATCTATTCATGAAAATTATAAACGCAACTCTTTTAAAATTCAATTAATTTTGAAACATTTAAGTAAAATTATTCATAAAATAATTTCTTAAGTAATAATTTTATGATAGTTCTTCAAAAATTAAATTATTTATAGAAATAAATTATTGTCAGTCAGAGAAAAAATTGAAGGTTTTATATTAGAATTTGTGGGGAATTTTATAGTTTATGAGGCAAACAAAAAAGACACAAAAATTCAGAACTTTCTTTTAAATTCTAAAAATTTAATTTTTTACAGTACTTTTAATAAAAATCTCTGTCTTTTTCCTGATTTTCCTGACTTTTCCCTGAATACTCTAAATTCACTAACCTGTGGCAACACTGAAAATAATAAAAAAAATTTCCGAGAATAGAGTAAAAAAATAGAAGGGAAGAAAATAGACATTTTCTTCCCTTCTATTTTTTACTCTATTTTCAGAAATATTTTTAATCAAAAAAATATAAATTGCAAAAGAAAGTTCGGTCACTTTAAAAATGTGCAATTCATTTACATAACCTAAAACTAAAAAATAGTTTTTTAATGTGAAATAGAACCATAATAATTTTCGAAAAGACTAAATTTAACCATAATAAATAGGTTTGTTTAGTTTTCGAAAGGACTACATTTTTGAAAAATTTTTATTTTAAAACATTTTAGTTACTTAAAATTGTGATTGTTAACCACACTCTAAAGAAAAAATGAGCAAAATGTGGCAATTTTATACCTAATTGTTCGCAAACAATTTTTAATTGTAAATAATAGTAAAACCAATTTTAGTTTTGAGGTTATGTCAAGTGGTTGAACCTCCTTAATGATTATAATTTATTGATATAAATTACAATGCACACGCACTGCTTTATATATACATACATATATCTACACTTTATGGAAATTTTGAGGCAAAATGATTATGTTTTGCATTCTAGCATGAATTTAACATTAGGATTAGTGTTTGTTATGAGCTTGAGGGTTTAATGGGGAGGAAGGGAAAGGGGAAATGTGTAATTACGTAGTTTTCCCCCTACCTAAAACATACGCTTAAATGCTTAACTAAAACCTACATAATATAACTTGTTGCATGTATTAGAACTGAAATTTATCATCATCATCATCTCGCTTTTTCAGAGCCGGTTACAAAGTTTCGGTGATCGATAAATCAGAGAAGGATTGGTGGAAGGGAAAATGTTTAGGTGGTCGTGCAGGCTATTTTCCCAGTGCTTATGTCATGAGAGTCGATCCTGGTCAAAAATCACTTCAAGTCACCAGAAATTTACAACTTGCTGATCAGACAACTCTTCTACGTGATCAGGTAAATATTTTTAATATTTACCATTTATTTTGCTCTGGGCTGCAACTCAGAGCTCGAACCTTCTTTTCATTAAAAGACGAAAATTTTGTTAAATATTATGTACTATCCAGGACTATTTATTCCAACAATGGAAACTAATAAGAATCAAATAACTAAAAAAAAAATTTTTGTCTTTTTAGATTGTTCTACAAGTGGGCGAAGAACTCGACGGAGTTGCAATGGTAAGATGCGCGGCTGACACCCGATCGTCCGATCAAACAGCAAACGAAGGCGAAGTCCGCTTCAAGGATACGCTTTGTCCATTAAAATATCTACAGGAAGTGTGACAGAAGCCTTATGAAGATGTAAACAAACGTCGCTATCAAAGTCCCCGACGTGGTTGGATCCGCATTCCCGAATCTTGCGAAAACTTATCCCACGCCTCCTCATCATCATCATCAAATCAAACCAACGAAATAATCGTCTGCGATTTCTCCAAACGTGGCAATTGGTCATCAATAAGAATATCGCGTGCAATAATATTCCGTACATCATCAAATATCGACTTCTATCCAATGATAATGAAACAAACACGAAATTCATCATCTTCCAATCGTCGCATTACTTCCGAAAAATATTACGACTGCTTTCAATGTGCCGAGCACTGTCGACATCTTTCATTAAAAAACAATTACAACTACAATAATAATAATAATAATTCATACAATAAAAATTCCTACACCTACAAGAATTCTTATTCTAATACCAACAATAACAAAAATCCAAAACCAAAACAAAACGCAAATAAAAATTTCAAAAATTCGTACAATAAAAATAATTATTCGAACTTAACTCCAAATAATTATAATTGCAAAAATAATTTGGACAAAAAGAGTAGTAAAAATTCCCAAAAAAAGGGTAAGAGTCAAAAAGAAACAAAGAACATAAACGATATAATCAGTGACGGTAAAAGTTACTTCTCATCAAAGAAAAATGAAAAGAAAAATGAGAAGATCTGCTTAGTGAAGAAAGTCAAGTCGGTAACAAATCAAGAGATCTCAAAGAAGCAATTCCAATTGTCGAATAATCTATCAATTATCGAATCGGCAAAGAACGAATTTAACGAAATTAACGTTTCAAATTATCATTTGAAAAAAAATACGCCGGTTAGAAAAAGATCATCATTAGCGAGACCGGTGAAAGTTTACGATTCGTTCCAACCACAAAAATGGATGATGATGATGGGTAATGATACAAGTCCCCAAGATATCGATCATCAGAAAATCGAAGGGCAGAAATTTCTAAATGACGACAATGATGATGACGATGATGATGATGACGACGACCATGCTGATGATAACAACAATAACAATTGTAACGATATTGTTAATGATAATCTGGAGCCTAATTCAAATCGTGCCTTCATCGACGCTCAAGATGAAGATGCTAATTGGCCTATCAGATTGAGACTCGAGGAGCTGCTTGAGCAAAGTAAAAAGAAAAAGCGCAAGGGAATTGTCACAATACGAAAGAGTAAAATAATCAAGGCGGACCCTGGTAAGAATAGCTTCAAGGATACCGAGAGGCTGCTCAAGGTACTTAGCAATCACGTGGACCAAGATAGTAGGTACAATGTCAAAAGATGCTGCGTCATGTAGGATGTTGCACAAGAAGAGTTCCCCCCCCCTCTCAATTTCAAAAACAAACCAAAAAAATAAATAAATAATATATAAATAAAGAAAAAAAAATGTGAAAAAAAATAAAAAAAAAAAATGCTAGAAAAAGAGAAAAAATAAATAAATAATGTGTGTGAAAATATACGCCAAAGCCGCGTTCTGATTTCTGCCAAAAGCTTTGGCAAATTGTCAAGGTCAATGGCCTTCTCATGACAAACGCAGTCATCCAAAAATTCTCTCTTTAATCAACACAATATTTAATGGCTAAAATACGAACTTCGCTCTTTCACGATAAAAAAAAAAAAATATAATGTCACCGTATCTCTAGCAGATGAATTCTTTTTTTATTTTATTGGCAAAATTTATTTCTCTGATTATCAATTAGTAAAAATTATTTATTTATTAATTATTGAAAATTATTTATTTATCAATTTTTGAAAATTATTTATTTATCAATTATTGAAAATTATTTATTTATAAATTATTAAACCATATTTATTTATTTATCAATTACTGAAACTTATTTATTGATAATATATACTTCGATTCGGTTTCTTTATTTTATTAAATTTGAATTTCGCGCTAAAAGTTTTGCTCTCCTCCGCCTAGAGGGCGAAAAAACTCTCGTAAACAAGATGAAAAAGATGGAATACAACTAATCATTGAGTGTAAAATTTCTGTAAATTACAATTTCAGTTATATTTTGGTAAATAATTGTGTTTAATTAATAAATAATTATTATTATTATTATCAAATATTAATAATTTCTATTAATAGAAGTTTAATAAAATTTTATTACATAAAATAAAATTAATAAATACTTCCTCCATGAGGCAGCAAAATTTAACTAATATTTGATTATTTTACGAATGAAAGTAATTAAATAATTAATGGCAAAACTTGATAATGCGTTTTGATGAAAAATTTTTTTTCGCACTCGAATAATAAAAATTTTATTCAAAGAAAAAATAAAATTGTGAATAAAAACAAAACATTCTCTTGTATGTTAAAATATATGTGATATCGATTTTTATGAAAGCTCACGAAGTTTGTTTTTTTTATAAAACTTCACGTCAAGACTAAATTATTCATTATTATTGAAATTAAAGTAAATTTCCAAGTAAAATTGAAATTAAATTAAAATTTAAGTAGATTTTTAAGTAAAATTGAAATTAAATTGAAATTAAATTGAAATTTCAGTAAATTTCCAAGTAAAATTGAAATTAAATTGAAATTTAAGTAAATTTACAAGTAAAATTGAAATTAAATTGAAATTTAAGTAAATTTACAAGTAAAATTGAAATTAAATGGAAATTTAAGTAAATTTACAAGTAAAATTGAAATTAAATTGAAATTTAAGTAAATTTCCAAATAAAATTGAAATTAAGTTGAAATTCAATTTTAGTAAATTTCCAAGTAAAATTAAAATTAAGTTGAAAATCAATTTAAATAAAATTGCAATTAAAATTGAAACTAACTTGAAATTAAATTTAAATAAAATTGCAATTAAAATTAAATTGAAATTTAAATCAATTTCCAAGTAAAATTAAAATTCAATTCAAATTGCAATTAAAATGAAATTACAATTTAAATTAATTAATTAATAATTAAATATTATTATTGTTATTATTATTAAATATTAAATAATTTAAATTAATTATTATTATTATTATTATTATTATTATTATTATTATTTTCAAAATACTTGAAAGTAGTAGAAAAAAAATAATTATTAACAGCAATACTAGAATAATTTAGTCGATAAAATAATAAATTTTACTCTCGATTGTAAATAAATTTTTTTGAAAATAATTTTGGTCCAATATTAATAAATTCGCGAATAATTTACATATTCGAGACTTGGCTTTGTGCCGAATTCATCTGCTAGTGATTAGTTATCTTCGACTAAAACCAACTGAAAATCATACCTTCAGAAAAGGATCGACCAGTTCTGTTGGAAATTCCTCGATGAATAAGAATATTATAATGAAAAAATTATCTAGTTTATTATTAGAAAACAATTTCGAAAATTAGACGTAATTTCCTTTTTTTTATTAGAAAATATTAAAGTCTTATTATTGTTATTAAAAAATTCTGACTGTAATCTGCTCTAAAAAAATTTTTTGTTGAAAAAAGAAACTATTGAGATTGAAAAACCGAAAAAAATGTTCGACGATTTGATTATGAAATTTCTATTTATTATAAATTATAAATAATAATAAAAATGGTATTATTTATTATAAATAATGAGAAAATGGCATAAGTTTTTATAAATATTTAAAAAATATCATAAGTTTTTAAAAATAATAAAAAAATGTCATAATTTATTATAAAATTTATAAATAATAAAAAAATTGCATAATTTATCATAAATAATTAAAAATAACACAATTTATTATAAATTTAGAAAAGGAATTACAAAATTCATTGTTAATGTAAATAACAAAAAAATTCGGTAACAATAAAAAATTATTATTTCACTAATAATTATTTACAAAATTTTTAGAGCAGAAAATTCAGAAAGAATTTTCGTCAAAAATTGTTTGTTATCTAGAAAAAAAAATGTCAAAATTAATTGTTAATATGACATTATTCTTTAATCAAAGTTTTATCAAAGAAAAAAATTCGCAAAACTTGATAATGCGTTTCGCTGCAAATTTTTCTTTTTGCACTCGAATAATAAAAAGTAATTCTTCATTCAAAAAAAAAAAAAAAAAATTGTGAATAAAAACAAAACATTCTCTCTCTATGTTAAAATATATGTGATATCGATTTTTATGAAAGCTCACGAAGTTTGTTTTTTATAAAACTTCTCGTCAAGACTAAATTATTCTCGATAATTTCAATTGAAAAAAAAAAGAATTATCAATATTAAGTACTGACCATGCTCTTCTTTTTTGTCGAAAAAAAGAAAAATGTATTTACTAACTCTAATGTAATAGAAAGTATAAAACAGAAAGAAATTAAAAAACTAAAATAAATAAAATAAAAATGAAAATGAAAATGAAAAAATTGATAATTTTCAAAATAAAAGAAAATTCATTTTCAATTTTTTATACTTGATCGCCAAAAAATTTCCAACAGACACGAAAATCGTTCTTGTTAGAAATAAAAAAAAAATTCTTTCATTCTAAAAAAAATGAAAACATATTTTTCAAATTTTTTCTTCGCTTTCTCATTTTTCAAAAGCATTTAATTTGTATTCAATTTCAATTTTTCAAAGAAAAGCATTTAATTTACCCGAAAATTATTTGTTTTTCAATATTTAATAAAAATATTTTGAAAAATAAAAGAAATTAAAATTTTTCGTTTACCAAAAATTCGATAATGAAAATTATTTTCCGGATTTTTTTTTGGGCGAAAATTTATTTTTTGTTTATCCGGTAAATTTTGTAAATAAAATCACCGTATTTTCTTGAATTACTTTTCAAGTAATTTACCGAAAATCATTTATTTTCCAATATTTAATAAATATTGAAAAACAAAAAATACATATATATTTTATCAATAATAAAAAGTAATTAAAAATTTAGAAAATATCCAATATTTTCAATTATCAAATTCGAAATAACGAGTTCAAAGTAATGCGTATTTTGTAAGAAAAAAAGAGATATCTAATCACTGTATCGATATAAATTGTTATAGAAATTGCAATATTATCAAATAGTTAAATATAAAAAATAGTTTACAAAAAAAAACGTCTTAGGAAATAAATATTAAATTATAAACAATATGCATTATTTTGTACTCCCAAATAAATATAGCAAGAAAAAAACCAAAATTTTCAAAAAAAAATCAGTTAAAATTTGCAAAATATTTTACAATCAAATTATTATCAAGAAAATAAAGAAAAAGCATTGTGAACAAAAATCTCTTTTCGTTTATGCAAAATATACAAAATTGCAAACTTCTGAAAACAAAAATTACTCAAAAAAAAAAAAATTTCAAGGGACATTTTCGAAATTTTCAAAAAAAATAATATAGATGTCGTGCCATGTTATATATTGTACCTGAAAAAATTGCTTTCGGTTAGAATTCAAATGCGGCGTTATTTTTTCTTCCTTTTGTTTAAATATACCTTAAGCTCTATTATTATATCTATAAAAAAAATGATTTTGCATTATTCACAAAATATATAATTAGCTGTTAGAATAATAGGAAAATCCAGCAACTAATGTCCAGCTAGTCGGAAAGAAAAGTCGTGTTTTTTAATTACCTATTTGCATATATATATAATTACTCACTAGTTAGGCGCCATTATTAATTAATTAATTAAATTACACATAATTAATATCCAATTATTAATAATTAATAAATAATAATAAATATTTTATTAATTATAAAGAATAATAAATAAAATTTTGTTTATTATAACTAATAAATATTTTGTTTATTATAGCTAATAAATAATATTTTGTTTATTATAACTAATAAATAATATTTTGTTTATTGTAACTAATACATAATTTTTTATTTATTATAAATAATAATATATTAAAATATTGTATTTATTATTGTATTATTAATTATAAATAATAGTAATATCGATGATAAATTATTGTCGAGGATAAAATCATCAAAGATAGAGTTATCGAAAAAAAATTATCAAAGATATTTATCATAATGATTAAAAAATAATTATACTTGCCTAATTATTTTAACTAACAATTAGCATTATCAATTGCTTATGATAGTTTAAAAGAAAAAATTATCATTTACAGTAATCGCTTGTTAAATATTTCGCAATCGCAAATTAATATACAACATTTGTAAATATTTGTTACTAATAATTACTATAAAGTAAAAAAAAAGAAATAAAAATAAAAATAGTGAAACTTTGAAAAAAAAATTAGTTTTTAATTTTGAAAACTAGATTGGCGCACCTTTTGATGGATTTCCCTGAAAATAAATATAAACTCTGTAGAGCGCTTATCACCTTTGAGCCTTGACGGTTTTATAGGAGTTCGAAAAACAAAACAAAA